GAACTGGGATCTGCAACACCCCTGAGAGCACCAAAAGAACAGCCTCTGTCCACAGTCCCTGAGCACACAGATTCTCAACATGCACTGGAGCTGGGTCATCCGCTACATTTTGGCAGCAGCTACAGGTAAATGGATCTCTATTCCCAGGACAGGAAAAGGGAGAGAGAGAGAGAGAGAGAGAGAGAGAGAGAGAGAGAGAGAGAGAGAGAGAGAGAGAGAGAGAGTAAAGTGACAATGGCATCCTCTGTGCAGCTGTCCACTCTCAGGTTTAACTGTGACAGCAGTCTGGGGTTGAACTGAGAATTCCTAGAGCTTCAGCACAGGAGTCCTGCAAGGAGTTTGACTCAGATAATTTCCTCAGTTTCTCTGTGAATTGGCTGAGGCACGAGCATGGACTTGGGCTTGAATGGATTGGAAACACACTCCCAAGCACTGGTAGATCACACTATGGACATAAGTTTCAGGACAGAGCCACCCTGGATGCAGACACCGTCTCCGACACAGACTCCTTGGAGCACAGCAGCTGACATATGGGGACTCTGCTGTCTATTGCTGTGCAAGGCACAGTGTCAGCACACATCTGAGGTGTGTCAGAAAGGAGCAAATGTGTCTGGAGGAGCAGGAAGCTGCCTTGGGCCTGAGAGGACAGGGAAGAGCAACCCGAAGCCTTGCTCAAAACTTGTAGTTAAGGACTGAGAAAAGGAATACCAGGACTAACAATTACTCTCTTTGCATAAGGAGTTTTCCTAGTTACCTTGCATTAAAGAGTCAGAGAGCAGAAGTTTTACATTAATGAACTTGTTCCACATATTCCTGTGCTGATGGTAATGTGAGCACAGGTTTTCAACATAATTGGGTCAGTTTCCTGGGTTGAAATGTTTGATCATATATTACATCAGTGTTTAATTTCTAGGAGATGACTAACTTTGCTGCTGAATTACTATTAACAAAATTCCCTCAACAGCCCAGTTTGTCTTCATGATATTTGAGGGGTGGGTTCAAAGACAACCATTTATCCTGATTTCACATTCATTTTATTCCCTAGTCCTTATACCCTGCCCTATAAGCCTGTCACAGAACACTGACTCAAGATATCTCCTTCACTCTTTTGGACACAGGGGTGTCACAGTCATCCTGAGTGCATTACTTAAAACGTATTTAGTGATTTCAGATGCTGATTCATGAAATTTTTCAAGATGAATGAGCTTCAGAGCTTGTTCGTAACTTCTGCAGGAGGACATTCTAGTGATCTCCAGAGACATCTCCAAACTTATTTTTTCCCTGCACCTGAGATAGGTGACCACTGAGGAAACCATGATATATTAATCTGTGAGTAAATCAGAGTGAGGAGATCAGAACTAAGTTCCAGAAACAATCCTCTTTGTAAAGGGACTCATGAATAGTGCAAGTTGTGCTCAGGCCTTTCAGTGATGTGCAGAGGATCAAACATAGCACAGTGACAGAAAGAATTGTTGGGCATTTACAATCAATAAAAATAGGCCCAGGCAGTGTAGAAGGGTAACATAATCCAGAGTAAAGAATGAGTGCGAATATTAGAAATCAATGTGTGCATGTATTTTACAGAAACTCTTGCCCAATTTCACACACATTGTACCAGCTCAGTCCATATTGTGATCCTCACAATAGTTTAACTTTGGAGAAAAAGCTCATGTCAACTTTTTATTATGCCACTGAGTCTAGACTTTGGTGAATAAATTCAGTGTTGAGAGGAAAATGTCTTTTTAAATCCACACAGATTGATCAGGCAAAACTCCTGCACATTGCCACCCTTGATAGCCACTAGCAGCCCACCATGCTGGAGTATGGAGAACACCATTATATAATTACCCTGGAGAAAGAGGTGCTGAAAGCCAAGGGAAGCACCTCCAGCACCCTGAAACAGGGATAACTGTTCCTCAACAAGGAAGAAAGTATATTATTCTGTGGGTGTTTCTCAGTGTTCTGGCATTCCACAGGACATCTTATCAATTCTGACCAGTGATAGAAGAGAAGACATGTATCAGACTGATCCCAGCCCCTTCTATCCTACAACAGTTGGTGCATCTGATTCATGACCTCATATTAGAGCAAAATATACATGAATAACCTGAATTTATGTGGTGCATATATTTGTATATTCTAGCGACACTTCAGACATTTAAACACACATGCACACATATCCTACATAATGCTATTGACTTTTCTCATTCCTGAAAGCAAATTCAAAATCCATCCTTCTTCCATGAAAATGTTCAGCTTCTGCAAAGCTTTACATGCACAAGACCTGTCCAAGAATAAGAGGATAACTGGAAATGTAGACACGGAGAGATAAAGCGGTTGCAACACACATATCCACCACACAGGAGAATCTTTGTCAAGAGACCTCCCCTCTCCCCTCATTCCTTTAATTGCATGCAAATGCAGTGTGGGAAACAGATTGAGTCTCAACATATATTTTCTTGACTTCTATTTTCTAAAATGTGAATATATTTTTCTGGACTTGTTAAGTTTTCTGTTCTACAGTGGTTCATCCTCTTTCTGTGCACTCCTTCATCTTCATGTCTCAGGAATTCCTACATAAATATATGGGGCACTGCATCCCATTTTAAGACTCAATGTCCTAAATGACATCATGTGCTCAGTCCCAGGTACAGTCTGATGAATGTAGTCAAGACTTTGTTCTCTCCTGTTGTCACCTTCCTACAAGTGGGAACTTCTGGAGCTGGATCCAACTGTCACCAGGGAGGAGGCTGCCATTGAGAAGGGCATTGATGATAGAATAGAAACAATTTAAAATGAATCTCTGAAACATCCAGTCAGCACCTCCAGATAAACAAGAGCCGTTTCTCCCTCCAGCTGAGCTTTGTGAGCACTGATGTTGAAGGGTTGTGTTATAGCTCCAGGGAGACAGTGCAACTTCAGTGTAAGCCATGACAGACCAACCTGCAGGGGAGCTCCTGACCAGCAGGGGGCACAATGGAGCTAAGAATCCCCAGTACAGAGATGGAATGTGTGCAGAGGGGACTCTGTGGTTTCCTTTCTTGGGTCTACTAGCTGACCTGCATTTGCTATGATTGATATGTGATTATTCCATGCTCAAACACAGTAAAGATTCTTGGTTAAACACTTCACGGGTTTATATTTTCTTGTTTATATTATTCAGTTTTCATTTACTTTTTACAATTTTTTTTTCGTGGAAAAATTTCATACAGTGTTTTCTGATCACTGATTCCCCTCCCCCTACTCCTCCTAGATCTTCCTATGTCCTCTCCTACCCAACTCCACACCCTGTCTTTTTCTTTGTAGGAAAGAAAAAATCAAATACAAAAAAGAGTTTAAAAAGGGAATAAAACTAAACAAAAATAAAACAATAAATACTCTCTCACACAAGCATACACAAAATCCTAAAAAGTACAACTTTGACTATGATATACAGGTAAAAGACAATTGAAACAAAAAATGTACAATAATGTGATATGAGAGAAAATATCTATAAAATACCATTGAGTTCATGTTACTTTGTGAGAGCCTGGGAAATAGCTGAGCAGGTAAAGGTGTCTAGTGCCAAGATTAGCCATATCAGTTTGATTGCTTAGATCCACATAATAGGATACAAGAATTGAATTCTGTAAGTTGTCCTCTGAGGATCACACATACACCTTGGTACATATGTACCCTGTTCTCACCACTAAAGATAGTATAACAATTTTTAAAACAATTAAATTTATGGAGAGAAACTCCTGAGAACACACACCAAACTGTGGATCTATTGGAATTTGATGATGGATGAGGAAAATATAACCAATTGTCTCTGGAAGGTTTCTGGAGGTTTCCTATGTTCTCGTGACTCCACCTATGTGTATATAGGTAGCACTGTTTGGTCTCACTGTGTTATTAGTTTGTGAAACAAAAGAGATCATGAAGTTGGGAGAGAGATTTATTGGAAGGTCCCAAGGGGAACCAGTGGGGCATAGTGGTGTACATATGATCATAATGTATTTTGTACATGGATTATAATTTCAAAAAATATAAATTGTGAAAGGTAAAAATAACAATTTTACATATGTTTAGAAATTTCAGACATGTATATTTTGTACACTGTGTATATTTCCCCATAATCCCTACCCTTATTTTCACGTACTCTTCCTTTACCTTATTTTACTAAACAATTTCACAAATACATCATTATATATTAGCATTCTTAGTTGTATGCAAGTATGGAATATCTAAAAACTAATAATGAGTATCATTTAATGTCTGTGTTTCTGGGTTTCTCTTAATTAATACATTTATCTCTAGTTGCATCCTATATTCTATAACTGAAGTAAGTTCCATATTCCTTGCAGTTGAAAAACTTCTGTTGTGCTGCTAAGATAAACATGTCTTCATGGTGAAATCCTCTGTTGACAGATGCATAGTTTGTTTCCATAATTCAGTTATTGTGTTGTTGCAATCATCATTGCTGTTCATCTGTTTCTGAAGCATGTTTACTTTTGGTCATTTGAGTGATTTTCTCAGCATATAATCTTTTGGTAAGGTAAATAATAATTGCATATATCTGAAAGGAGTCTGCAAACTTCAAACTTTGCAGATTTTAAATTTCCCTTCATTGTCATCATCATTATAATTGTCATCATCATCACAACCACCTTCTCTAAATAAATCTGACAACCATGTTAGAAAGTGAAGCAAATGTCTCAGGCCTGAAATCTACTGAGAGCTCAGGTCCTGATGATACAACCTCAGCATCTGCACAGGGCTCATGGAAAGATCGTGGTATGCATTTCCTGAGAGAGGATTCAGACTTAGTCCTCTGCATCTTGCTGCCTAACCCAGGAGTCCTCTACTTCCTTCTGAAGCAGGACTAGGTCCTTATATAAGAAGTACCCTACTCATGAATATGCAAATTACTTGAGTCTGTGGTGGTAAATACTGGAATGCCTACAACCCATAACAGCATATGATCAGTGTCCTCTCTATAGTCACTAAGCACACAGGACCTCACCATGGGTTGGAGCTGGATCATTGTCTTCCTTGTGTCATTAACTACAGGTAAGGGGCTTTCAAGTTCCAAACCTGAAGAAGGAACAGGGACTTTGGTGACAATGACATCCACTCTGCCTTTCTCTCCACAGGTGTCCACTGCCAGGTCCAGCTGCAGCAGTCTGGTCCCGAGTTGGGGAAACCTGGTTCCACAGTGAAGTTGTCCTGCAAGGCTTCTGGCTACTCTTTCACTAGCTATGATATCAACTGGTTGAAGCAGAGGCCTGGACAGGGCCTGGAGTATATTGGATGGATTTATCCTGGAGATGGTGATATTGGCTGTGCTGAGAAGTTCCAGGGCAAGGCCACACTGACTATAGACACATCCTCCAGCACAGCCTACATGCAGCTCAGCAGCCTGATATCTGAGGACTCTGTGGTCTATTACTGTGCAAGACACACAGTGCTGCAACCACATCCTGAGTGTGGTCAGAAGCCCTGCAGGAACAGGAAGTTGCCCTGGGACTGAGATGACAGAGAAGATTAGCCTGGAGACTTGTTCAAAAATAATCATTCTGAGTGTCTCTTTGTCTTTCATTTTAAAGTCTTATAGGGTTTTGTTCAACTTTTCAAAAGGGAAAATACTAGGAATAAAGTGATGTAGATTCATGATTCCCCTCAGAGTACACCAAACCTTGACCAGCTGTTTACTTGTGACCACCTCCATTAACATGATTCCTTTTTAATAAAGTAAAAAATGAACAACTTTGGCAATACGTGATACTATTAATATCTCTTAAATCTAAGGAACTGGAACTGTTGCTGGAGTGGCTGGCAATAAGCTATAATATGAGTCAGGCCAGTAAAAGACAAATCAACAGCATGTGCACAAACAAAGCCCCTTTTATAGTCCAATTTGGTTTCCCTAAAACAAGCAAAGGCAGTTTGTTGGAAGAGGTCCCCATAGATGTTAGGGTTAGTGCATTAACCTTTTCTATGAAATCCAATTTTATATCTTCATTTATTGATACATTTGATCATGAATTGCTTTTGGAAGTAGTAAATATAGCTCTGGGTAAAGAGCAGTGGGATTCCAAGCTGGGAATGTAGAGACCTGATCCTGTCATTGGCAGCCATGGTTGCTCATTCCCCTGCTTCCTGAAACTGGCTTCTCTTTGTCACCACCATTCACATAGACTGGACCAGTAAAAATGCATCTTATATTTGCAGGTGTTTTAGAGGGAGGTTTACTATACTGAGGATTACTAGCAACTTTTAGTTTATGTTATTTTTGTAAATGGTCCATTCCCTGTACATCTGAAATACATTTAAGGCTATAATAACACATGCAGAATCTGAGCCTTATGCTCCTCTGTGCCATCATTTTGGGATGCTTTTATCAAATAAGCAATAGTATGAGAGGTATTAGCAACCATGCAATGAAGCTTTTTCCAGTTAAAATTTGCATTTTGATAAACAGATGAAAGAGACAAAGTAGAAGCAGCTTCTTTACTATCTGCCTGCTGCTCTCTAGTTTGGTGTATATGAGGGACAAATTCATAAATGGCTCTGTAGATTTCTGTGTATAGGGGGAAATATGCCTGTGGGAATATTATTTTCAGGAACTTTATTTGAACCTATTATACCAGAATGGCTGCTTTGGCTGTGAACAACTTGAGATCCTGCAAGCAATTGGGCCACTGATTGGAAGATTCCTTTTCTGATAATTAGAGATAAGTCATGTTTTTAGCAGTCTCTGCCTTTGGTTATGAACAGCAACAGTTGACAGGCAATCCTTTGTTCACTACTGAAGTCACAGACAAAACTGAGGAGTGCTGAGAATTGTTTTCATGTGAGCTTGCCAGGTTAAGGATATTATTTCATACATATTTGTGAAAATGTCTATTATTATTATTGTGGGGAAATGACTCTCAACCCATTTTCTATTCCTTTTTTTTTTGATTTTTCGAGATAGGTTTTCTCTGTATAGCTTTGGAGCCTTTCCTGTAACTCACTCTGTAATCCAGGCTGGCCTCGAACTCAGAGATCCACCTGGCTCTGTCTCCCAAGTGCTGGGATTAAAGGCATGTGCCATTACTGCCCAGCTTCAACCCCATTTCTATAACATTAATTTTTAGATCTTGCTATTTGGAGAATGGAAGATTGGTTCATGGGCAGGATTCTTCATATTTCTCTAATGACTGGAAACACAGTCAGTAATTGTCCTGCCTGGAAACACTTTAAGGCCTTTTGTGGGTAAGGATCAATTTATATCAACATCCTGAAGGGACATATGAAGAGAAGATGCAAGAGGTTTAGTAAGAAGACATTATTTTCTGAGGCTTCCTTTTCCTTTGGTGAGACTAACCAACTAGCCTAAGCGGGTTCCACAAGATTAAATGTTTCAATATAACTGTCTCATAGAGCAACTCAACTTGTCACCAATATTTTTCTTCAAAATATATGAATGAGTCTTATGGTTGTTACCCCATGAATGTTTCTTAATAACAGTCAATAACTGAAGAGTTGATCGTAATTTGTTTTAATTATGCTTTGGCTCCAATTCACTTATGTAAGTTTTGTAGTTGATTTGAACACATTAATAGTAAACGTAGATTCATCAATTATGTTTCTACACCAAATTAAGGAAATCAATCAAAACATTTCCTTTGAAGCCATTTAACCAAGAGCAAGCCTAGATTTGATTCCCTATTTGATATTGCCAGTGTTGTCTTCTGATGTCCTGTTGTAGGAGGAGTCAGAATCTCTGTATCTGTCTCCATCTCTTGTTCTGCACCTCTCTCCCTGTCTCCCTGTGACTCTCTCTCTCTCTGTGTCTCTGATTCTCTCTCTCCTTCTCTCTCTCTCTCTCTCTCGGTCTCTCTCTCTCTCTGTCCATTACAAAGATTTTTACTGTATATTTATTGAAGAGTACAGAATGCATCATATGGTAAAAGAATAAGGGATATTTGACAGAAATCTTTAATAGAGTTTTACTGGGAATTAGTAACTCTTTTTCAGGTGACTCAAATAATAAACAGTACTACAATCATCTTTTTAAAAATCAAACAATAGCTGTATATTATTTTCAGTAATTCTGGACACTCATTTTATAAAATGTATATTTTAAATTATGTGTTTTCAGCAAATGGTTATCATAATATTATTACAAACACATGCATTAGTCTTCAGTCAAAGCATGGAACAACACACAAAATAAACTAGAGCTGTGCATTATCTCATTATGGAAATTCTAGGCATGTAATGTTGGATGTTACAATATTCTTTTAAAGACAGGTTAAACAGACTGAGTACACAGTATGATCATAGTCTGAAGAATTTCAAAGTGTATTGTTCACTCTGGCTATGTGGTCCAGCAAAAGTTTCAGTCTCTTAGAATGCAAGATATATTTTTATCATAATGTATTTCCACAAAAGTATAATTTCTATAAGTTGATTAAATGTACTATTAAAACATTTTTACACTTTGATTGACAAAATGTATGCACATGTTAATTGTCAATATTTCTGAAATTATGTATTATGCCATATTCTCTAGTCTCATATTTACTGCCTTCCCAGTCTCAGTAGTTTGACCTACACTGTAAAGTCTTTAGAGAAAATGTGCATCCTGATATTTTCTCTGGTTCTGCCAGGCCCACAGTCTCGCAGATGCTTATAAAATAATCACTCACGAGCTGGGCGGTGGTGGCACACACCTTTAATCCCAGCACTTGGGAGGCAGAGGCAGGCGGATCTCTGTGAGTTCGAGGCCAGCTTGGGCTACCAAGTGAGTTCCAGGAAAGGCGCAAAGCTACATAGAGAAACCCTGTCTCGAAAAACCAAAAAATAAATAAATACATACATACATAAATAAATAAATAAATAAATAAATAAATAAATAAATAAAATGAAATCACTCCGAAGCGTATATTAATTATAATCACCCAGGCTTTTACTGACTAGCTCTTACACTTAAATTAACCCAAGTTCTTATCTATGTTTAGCCATGTGGATTGATACCTTTTCTTAGTTCTGCCTTGTCATCTTGCTTCATCTGTGTGTGGCTGGCGACTCCTGACTCAGCTCTTCTTCTTCCCAGAATTCTCCTTGTCTGCTTGTTCTGCCTATACTTCCTGCCTGGCTAATGGCCAATCAGCATTTATTATTAAATCAGTGTTCAAGAGCATTATCCCAGAGTAAACATGGACCTACATTGATACATCATTATTATTCCTTTGGGTAGCTGGAGCTCACACTTTTATAGAGCATGGGGTTTTGGATAATGTATGAATAACAACCAGTGTGGAGACATGTGGTACCTGGTAATCTCAATGGTTGGATCTATACAAAGACTCTTTAGCTCAGAACAATAACATTTAATGTCCCTCTAGCAGACATTTACCCATGAAAAATATCAATGTCATGTGTTTAATGTGTATGCAACCCTATGGGGAATACACTGTGGCAGGCAATAATCCCCTAGGCCAATTCTATGTTAAAGTTTATGCAAACCTATGTTGAGATCAAAATACTGTTTGAAATACCAGTGATTCTATAATATAACCTCCTGTCTTCCTCCAACTGGAAAGCAGGGATTGACCAGGAAGGAGGTGAATCTTCCACTTCAGCCCAAGTTCAAGGTGACGATCCAATGTACTGGGAAGGCATCTGTTATGTAGCTGTAAGAACTTGAAAGCAATTCCACTAAAATCAGGAATGAAGCAAGGCTGTCCACTCTCCCCATACTTATTCAATATAGTACTTGAAGTTCTAGCCAGAGCAATAAGACAACATAAGGAGATTAAGGGGATACAAA